TCTTTTTTCCATTGGACATTCTTTCCTGCTCTGTCAAAGATTAGTTGACCATAGAGTTGAGGGTCTATTTCTGGGCTCTCTATTCTGTTCCATTGATCTATGTGTCTGTTTTTGTGCCAGTACCATGCTGTCTTGATGATGACAGCTTTGTTATAGAGCTTGAAGTCCAGAATTGTGATGCCACCAACTTTGGCTTTCTTTTTCAATATTCCTTTGGCTATTCGAGGTCTTTTCTGGTTCCATATAAATTTTAGGATTATTTGTTCCATTTCTTTGAAAAAAATGGATGGTACTTTGATAGGAATTGCATTAAATGTGTAGATTGCTTTAGGTAGCATAGACATTTTCACAATATTTGTTTTTCCAATCCAGGAGCATGGAACATTTTTCCATTTCTTTGTGTCTTCCTCAGTTTCTTTCATGAGTACTTTATATTTTCCGAGTATAGATTCTTAGCCTCTTTGGTTAGGTTTATTCCTAGGTATCTTATAGTTTTGGGTGCAATTGTAAATGGGATTGACTCCTTAATTTCTCTGTCTTCTGGTCTTGTTCTCAGGTCTTGTTGTTGGTGTAGAGAAATGCAACTGATTTCTGTGCATTGATTTTATATCCTGACACTTTGCTGAATTCCTGTATGAGTTCTAGCAGTTTTAGAGTAGAGTCTTTTGGGTTTTCCACATATAGTATCATATCATCTGCGAAGAGTGATAGTTTGACTTCTTCTTTGCCGATTTGGATGCCTTTAATATCCTTTTGTTGTCTTATTGCGGAGGCTAGGACTTCTAGTACTATGTTGAATAGCAGTGGTGATAACGGACATCCCTGCTGTGTTCCTGACCTTAGCGGAAAAGCTTTCAGTTTTTCTCCATTGAGAGTGATATTTGCAGTGGGTTTTTCATAGATGGCTTTGATAATATTGAGGTATGTGCCCTCTATCCCTACACTTTGAAGAGTTTTGATCAGGAAGGGATGCTGTACTTTGTCAAATGCTTTTTCAGCATCCATTGGGAGTATCATATGGTTCTTGTTCTTTCTTTTATTAATGTGTTGTATCACATTGATTGATTTGCAGATATTGAACCAACCTTGCAGCCCTGGAATAAATCCCACTTGGTCGTGGTGAATAATCCTTTTAATGTACTGTTGAATCCTATTGGCTAGTATTTTAGTGAGAATTTTCGCATCTGCGTTCATCAAGGATTTTGGTCTGTAGTTCTCTTTTTTGATGGGATCCTTTTCTGGTTTTGGGATCAAGGTGATGCTGGCCTCATAAAATGAGTTTGGAAGTTTTCCTTCCATTTCTATTTTTTGGAACAGTTTCAGGAGAATAGGAATTAGTTCTTCTTTAAATGTTTAGTAGAATTCCTCCGGGAAGCCGTCTGGCCCTGAGCTTTCGTTTATTTGGAGATTTTTGATGACTGTTTCAATCTCCTTACTGGTTATGGGTCTGTTCAGGTTTTCTATTTCTTCCTCGTTCAGTTGTGGTACTTTATATGTCTCTAGGAATGCATCCATTTCTTCCAGATTGTCTAATTTGTTGGTGTAGAGTTGCTCCTAGTATGTTCTTATAATTGTCTGTATTTCTTTGGTGTTAGTTGTGATCTCTCCTCTTTCATTTTTATTTATTTGGGTCCTTTCTATTTTCTTTTTGATAAGTCTGGCCGGGGGTTTATCAATCTTATTAATTCTTTCAAAGAACCAGCTCCTAGTTTGGTTGATTTGTTCTCTTGTTTTTTTGGTTTCTATTTCATTGATTTCTGCTCTGATCTTTATGATCTCTCTTCTCTTTCTGGGTTTAGGGTTTCTTTCTTATTCTTTCTCCAGCTCCTTTAGGTGTAGGGTTAGGTTGTGTACCTGAGACATTTCTTGTTTCTTGAGAAAGGCTTGTACCGCTATATATTTTCCTCTCAAGACTGCCTTTGTTGTGTCCCACAGATTTTGAACCGTTGTGTTTTCATTATCATTTGTTTCCATGAATTTTTTCAATTCTTCTTGAATTTCCTGGTTGACCCATTCATTCTTTAGAAGGATACTGTTTAGTCTCCATGTATTTGGGTTCTTTCCAGATTTCTTCTTGTGATTGAGTTCTAGCTTCAGAGCATTGTGGTCTGAAAATATGATACTGGTTGAGACCTGATTTAGGACCAAGGATGTGATCTATTCTGGAGAATGTTCCATGTGCACTAGAGAAGAATGTGTATTCTGTTGCTTTGGGATGAAATGTTCTGAATATATCTGTGATGTCCATCTGGTCCAGTGTGTCATTTAAGGCCTTTATTTCCTTATTGATTTTTTGCTTGGATGATCTGTCCATTTCAGTGAGTGGGGTGTTAAAGTCCCCTACTTATTGTATTATTGTTGATGTATATCTTTGATTTTGTTATTAATTGGTTTATATAGTTGGCTGCTCCCACGTTAGGGGGATAGATATTTAAAATTGTTAGATCTTCTTGTTGGACAGATCCTTTGAGTATGATATAGTGTCCTTCCTCATCTCTTATTATAGTCTTTGGCTTAAAATCTAATTGAGCTGATATAAGGATTGCCACTCCTGCTTTCTTCTGATGTCCATTAGTATGGTAAATTGTTTTCCACCCCCTCACTTTAAATCTGGAGGTGTCTTCGGGTCTAAAATGAGTTTCTTGTAGGCAGTATATAGGTGGGTTTTGTTTTTTTATCCATTCTGATACCCTGTCTTTTGATTGGGGCATTTAGCCCATTAACATTCAGGGTAACTATTGAGAGATAAGAATTTAGTGCCATTGTATACTGTTACTGTATATTGTCTCTGTTCCTTTCTGATCTACTACTTTTAGCCTCTCTCTTTGCTTAGAGGACCCCTTTCAGTATTTCCTGTAGAGCTGCTTTGGTGTTTGCATATTCTTTCAGTTTTTGTTTGTCCTCAAAGCTTTTTATCTTTCCTTCTATTTTCAATGATAGCCTAGCTGGATATAGTATTCTTGACTGCACTCTTTTAGTGTTCTGAATATATCATGCCAGCTCTTTCTGGCCTGCCAGGTCTCTGTGGATAAGTCTGCTGCCAATGATATTTTTACCATTGTATGTTACAGACTTCTTGTCCCGGACTGCTTTCAGGATTTTCTCTTTGTCACTAAGACTTTTAAATTTTACTATTAGGTGACGGGGTTTGGACCTATTCTTATTGATTTTGAGGGGGGTTTTCTGCACCTCCTGCATTTTGATGCTTGTTCCCTTTGGCATATTAGGGAAATTCTCTCCAATAATTCTCTCTAATATACCTTCTCCTCCCCTCTCTCTTCTTCTTCTGGAATCCCAATTATTCTAATGTTGTTTCATCTTATGGTGTCACTTAACCTCTCGAATTCTCCCCTCGTGGTCCAGTAGCTGTTTGTCCCTCTTTTGCTCAGCTTCTTTATTCACTGTCATTTGGTCTTCTATATTGCTAATTCTTTCTTCTGCCTCATTTATCCTAGCAGTGAGAGCCTCCGTTTTTTTATTGCACCTCATTAATAGCTTTTTTTATTTCAACTTGGTTAGATTTTAGTTCTTTTATTTTTCCAGAAAGGGCTTTTATATCTCCCGAGGGGGTTTATAGACATGGTTTTTATAAATCAATTCTATATCCTGCAACTTTACTCTATTTGTTTATTAGCTCTGCTAGTTTCTTTAATGGATACCTTAGGATTTTCTATATACAAGATCATTTCACCTGCAAATAGAGATTGATCTATTCATTCTTTGTAGTCTAATGCCTCTTATTTCATTTTCTTGCCTGATTGCCTGGCTGGAACCTCTAGTACCATGTTGAGTAGCAGTGATGATTAAGTATGATGTTAGCTGTAGGTTTTTATAGATCCCCTTTTCAGACTGAGGAAGTTCCTTCTGTTCCTGGTTTCTTAAGTGTTTTTTTTTGTCATGAAAAGTTGGATTTTTATCAGTTACCTTTTTTTGTTAATTGAAATAATTACGGTTTTTGTTTCTGTTAATATGGTATATTATATTGGCTGGCTTTTAAAATCCTGAGCCAAACTTGCAGTTCTGGGATAAATCCCACTTGGTTGGATACTTTTTTATGCGTTACTGAAGATCAGCCATAGGTGGGTATTTATCAAGTCTTTTGTAAGCCTGTGAACAGCCCTGTACATATGTGGTCTTAAAGATTCCCAGGGATATGTTGGAACTTTTCAAAGTCCCTGTGGACATCTCATTTCACAGTTTTTCCTCTGAAATATTTTGATCATCTTCCTGTTTGTATTGTTTCCCCTGGCAGCAGAGATGTTAAAACAATGGACACTCATTATTTTTGACAAATGCCTGGGGTAGGTGTGGATGTGGGTGGGCAGAGGAATAGGTGGTACTCAGTGGGTGAATTTTGAGGTCAAAAAAAGAAAAACCCTGTGGGTGGGATTTTTCTGGGAACTGCCAGACAGGTCCAGTGGTGTCAGTTATCTGGCTGACTACAGTTTTGAAGGAGCTGTAGTCCGTTCTGTCAGTCTTTTACAATGGAAGGTTAGTTTAGTATTGTGCAAAGAAAACACTGGTAAGAAAAATCCAAAAGCAGAAATTAGGTTCTCAGCTTTTTCCTAAATCCTATTTAAGATAATTGCCCAGGTTCTGGGTAGTGGCCTTGGAGATAGAGAGGAACCTTTAGATCTTATCTCATCAAGAAGCAATTGGCAAATATGTTTATATATTTTACATATATTACATATATGGCAAATTTGTAGTTATTTAATGTAATGTTTGCTTATTCTGATGTCCAAAATTCACTACATTTTTATTGTAAGATACAGAAAAGCACACACACACGACACACATTTTTAGGAAATACCTGTTACAGAAGCACTATTGTTCCTAAATATGATATGAACCTGTAGTTTCATAATGTTCTCTTTTGTGAAAGTAGAGCCAGGCTATGAATTTTAAAATCATTTCTTTTCATTAAGGTATGTTTAATAAGTTGGTGTCATAGTACTTTAAACTTTGTAGTTAATTTTGCTCTTTTCTCCCCATTTTAGGTGGATGCACGGAGCATACCAGTGTTAGCAAAATGGCAAAATTCATATAGCATTAAAGTTGTACTTCAAGAGCTAAGACGTCTAATGATGTCCAAAGAAAATATGAAGCTTCCACAGCCACCAGAAGGACAAACATACAACAATTAATTTTAGTGGATCTCAAACTTGTCTTAAATCAACAACCTTCTACTCATGTTAATGTCTTGATTAAATATCACAATGCAAAATACCCACACATTAAGTAAAAGAATTCCAGCTGGTAAACATGACCTGGACATTTGTAAGAATATATTTAATGTATGTACACCATTATGTTTTCCGGTTACAGGAGGAAAAATGCAGCACAATTTTTCTTTTTCTCTTGTTAAGGCACTATCATTTAAGCATAAACCTGGAGTACTCAAAATAGAATTCAGGTTTACAAGATGAAAGCATGGAGAGAAGAATCAGACGCTGTGGAAGCATGTGTGTTTCTGAAAAGTAAAAACAAATTTCAAGAGGAAAAACAGAAATGGCATGCTTTGTCCATCTTACTTAGTGAAAGAGCTTCAGTTGAAATTGTCTAAAGTAGCAGGTACAATGAATATTGTCACAAATTGTGTTAATTTTTGAAGCAGTGTGCGTGCTGACTACTAGTAGTATCAAAAAAATGTTCAGGATTGTTTTGATACCTGTATTTATAATAAAAAATGTTGTGGGGGAGGTCGATGAATTTCTGTTAAAAGCCGTTCCTGTGTGTTACATGTAACAGACATGGTAAATACTTGTTTACAGTCTTTGACAAACCATGCATTTAAGTGAAATCAACAAAAAGGAAATAGGTGTATGGGTATGTGATTTTGAGATTAAAGTTAGTCTTAAAATGTAAATAAAATGTGGAATATGTCCTCAGAAACCGTGCCATTTCTATTATATTGATGTGGTATATGTATAGTACCTTGCTGAGGTAGCAAAAATTGGAATTATTGTAGCTATTCATCTATAAACACCTTTATTATCCTATTTTGTATACTTCTTGTGAATTAGAATTTGCAGAGTATTTGAGACGACAAATTACCTAATTGGTTTAATTTCATTTTTGGAGGAAGAGGAATCGCAGGTATTATATTTTAAATTTTAGTTGGCCAGAAGTACTATTTAAAAATGTTTGGATTCTAGCAGTTCTTATAGAGTTATAAATTGCAAATTATCCAAATACACATTCCATTCTCTTTGTAACTTTTTTTTTCTATAATTTTCTGTGACATTTCTTCCCCCAATGCTTCTAATTGGGATTAATTTTATCCAGTTTCTCTTAACCTCCACTTTGACAAATAGAAATTCTTAATTGAAAGCTCATTTATATTCTCCCTTTACCAAAATGACTCAAGGCTTTACGTCACTGTTTTTCATTTCAAAGCATATACTACTTTGGGTATACTACTTTGTTAAAAATGTTTTTTTCTTACGAATTCCCTGAAGAACATAGAAGGGTGGTCAGGTATCAAGGACAAATTTCTTAAAGATTCCCTGATATGTTTTTTTTATCAAGTCATTCATAGTTACAGCTCTGAGCTACTTTTTCTTGGTTAATAATACATGAAAGTTAGTGACAGTTTGTCTAAACTTACTAATTTCAACATGGCTATTTTTAATTATCAAAGATGTCTAAAATGCTTTCAGATGACACATAGAAATGATATACCCACAAATTAGTGCATGTGTAATTTATTAAAGTAGGTTTGAAATGAATTATTATCTTGGCATACTTTCTTAAAAATTTTGAATTGTTGAACTTGATTTACAGTGACTTCATATGTAAAACCATTACTGGTAGTCTAAATTAGTCTAACAGCTTCTTTTCCACTTTGGAAATGTGTCTTGTCATACAGTGTAGCTAATAACCATTTGAATGTTAAATTATATTGGTAGGCTGAGAATCTGGGTACCTTGATCACTTATTCTCTTTCCTTTTCCCATATCCACTATTGTGAAGGGTTCTCCCCCCAAGTATATGTTGTTTGAGTTGGCTGAGGGTGTTTATTTCCTCTGTTTTGTTTTTGGGACTGTGGATCTCTGCAGAAATCTGCATGCTAATTAGTTTCCAAAGCAGAATCCATTTTGCATGTAACAATCAAGATATACATGGCAATCTAAAACACACTGGTTGATTATAGAAAGAGCTAATGTAGAGCTGCTCTTAATTATAGTAACATTTCTAAGACCGCATTTTGAAGCAATCTTTCCTTTGTTTTCTAAAGTGGCTAGGGTTATAGGAGTGTATGGTATTAAATGAACTGTAAAATTGCCTTTGAAATTTGTTTAAAAGACTAGCAGTTGCGACCCTAGGGGATGATCAGTAAATTTAATAAAGATTACAAAAATGAAATTCTTGTCCTATTAGGTCAATGTTATGCTTTAATGGTTTTAGTTACTAGTTTTCAGAATTGCTGGTTTTAACGTTTTTTCTAATATTTTGAAGTGATGGCATTTGTTTATGGGTTAAGTGTTAATTTTCAGAATTACGGAACATTAACATTTGTAAGGGTAGTGCTGTAGAAGAAATGTATGATTTCAAATTATCCTTTTAAAAGAATTTATCACACTTCAATTTGAGTAAGTGCTTGGAGAATACATTAGTTTTACTTACAGCTGGTTTATTAATCTGGATTACTTAATGCCAATTCATTGATTTAAATATTTCCCACTATGTGTGTTTTTATTGATAAATACATGTGAAATTAATATTGTTTTGAAAATTTAGAGGATACAGCTGGAAAATATTAGTACATGATCCTTAATAGATTCGGTGTGTACAGCTTTGGATAGTTTTGGTAGGTGCATCATGGAATTACAGTCTGGTCAAAACTATGTTAACCCTTTTAATGAGCACATTACTATGTTCTTACATACAGTTTAAAGAATGTAAGTACATATAATAAAGTCTAGTATAATGAATAATGTGATTGATAGGTGTTTAAGGAATTTTTTCCCCGATTTCATTTTAGAAGTATTTTTTTAGACCTATGTGTAGAATCATAGTATTGTTTATTGCTGGGAAGGATCTAAAAGGCACTGAGTTTACCCCTCTGCTAAGTGTCAGTGTAATTTTCCAGTATCAACTTGATTCATTTTTGGTTATTTTCACAAAAAGATTCCAATTATCACAATTTTGGAAGGTATGTATATTTTGTATATAAAATAGGAACATCATAAAAAGGAGTGGATGCACTGTATTACAGAATTGATATGAGCATTGGCAGTTAATTCCCATCCAGTACTGTGTTTACTAAAAAGTGGGAAATGTATGGAAATAAAATATCTTTTATGCCTTATAGAAGTTATATTATGAGTGGATGGAAATCTTAACCATAGTTCACACTGAAAATTTTATTTTAAAATACAGTGGGACATTGAAAATAAAAGATATGCCATATGCATTTCCTGAGAGAAAAATTTGAAGGTATTTGGTGATATAGAAAATGATGTCAAAACGATCATTTTGTGGAATAAGGGAGTTTGGGGAACTCATGGAGTGAGTATATGATTTAAAAAAAACCAAAAAACAGTAGAAATGAGGTTGCCATGGTGTTTACATCCTTAGTTGGATATTCTCACCAAAAAAAGTTCCTAAGGGTTGGCTTCATCTCATTTCCCATGCAGTCTTTAAGAGTTTTTTGGCAGGTTCATTAGAAAATCAACAGTCAAAGCCAGATAGATCTCATTTTCTTAACTTAAAAGGTTCCAGGAATCATTCATCCTAAAATGAATAACTGACCAAATACCATGTAAGATTTGTACAGTGATCCATTGGCTGCTCATTGTAGACTTGTGTGAATTCTTTTATCTTGTCCTTATTCCAGTAATGGGCAGATGTTTATCTGGAAGTTTTTGCAGCCAAGAAATTACACAAAAATGAAGTTAGTATTTTACCCCCAAAGGAAGACTAATAGTTGGCACTAAGAATCCAATAGTAATGAGAAACCTGTGGTCAGTAAAGAAGCAAATAGTCACTGAGTTGAAAGTAAAGACTTTAGTTTGTCTGGTGCAGTAATTGGATAATTTTAAAAAAATTTTTGTTCAAAGGTTATAAAGAAGCGCTGTTAATTGATTTTATATTCTTCATATAGTATAATTGCTTTTTAAAAAAACAGATAACAAAGTAACCTGGAAAATCTGTAATATAATGTGAGATTTTAACAGGATAATCTCATATTAAAATGTAGTAAAACTTGTTTTGATAATTAATGTCATTTTTGGGGGTCCGAAGATGACTCCTTTTCCAATCAACAAGCATGGTAATTGTAAATGCTTTATTATTATAATGGTGGGATGAATTATAGTTTAGCAGCCTTTGACAGAGGGAAAAATAGATTTTCTTCACAGTTGATAACTGACAAAGTAATGTAATATTGTTTTACTCCTTTTCAAGCCACATTGGCCAAGTAATGATTGTCAGATGTCCAGCTTATTACCATAAATTATCTTTCTATTGCTATAATTTTTTAAACTCCAGGTAATTTAAATTGGGTGAGACAAATTTAAAGTGGGTGATAAATTTTTCTTCAATAATTGCAATACTCAAGAGAAAATAATTGAGTACACAAGAAAAGTAAAATATCTAAATGCCTAGATTTCTTAATCTTGAGTAATGTATGGACTTTAAGGAGAAAAATAGTACTTGTGGACTCAGTATTGTTTTGAATTATTTTTGTTAAAACATTGTTTAATGCATAAAACTGTACTAATGCAAATGTTGTATAAACTTATGCTCTTGGGCCTTTATAAAATTATAAAGTACATTCAGCTATAGAGTAATTAAAATGTAAAATAATTTAGAATTGAGGATGTTTTATTTAATCTGCTTATAAATATTGGTGTTGTCTCTTTTTGGCTCCCCCCTCCCTTTTTTTTGCCATGTCTAGACTATGGTGTGCTGCTGGATCTCAGATTTTCTTACCTTTTTTCTCTTGCCCTACTGCTACAGAAACGTCTTTGTTATGTTATCTGATCTTTGTTTGCTGTAAATACAATTCTTTATTAATTCCACTACTGTTCTTTTCTATTAACCAGAGACCATTCTTTCAAAGAACTCCTGAGTCTTTTTATTTTTTTTAAGATTTTATTTATTTATTTGACAGAAAGAGACACGGAGAGAGGGAACAGAAGCAGGGGGAGTGGGAGAGGGAGAAGCAGGCTTCCTGCAGAGCAGGGAGCCCAGTGTGGGTCTTCATGCCAGGATCCTGGGATCATGACCTGAGCTGAAGGCAGAGGCTTAATGACAGCCACCCACGCACCCCAACTCCCGATCTTTGGTTCCACTTAGAGACCACAATTGTCTTAAACCCTTGATTATGAAGAATTAACAGTGATACCCACTTTTACTGTCATTGTGGTCCTATATAGGAGTAAAAATTATTTACAGTTGGTGATGAATGGTAACTTGGTGTACTGATAACATTTTAATTTAGGGTAACATTTTTTCCCCTTTTTAAAATTTTTACTTAAACTCAGGTTAGTTAACATATTGTGTAATACTAGTTTCTAGGATAACACATTTTAATCGATGTCTTCAAGCTAAATGGTATGATCCCCAAGCTCAGTGGTAATGGGTGCTGAATACATTCATTGTTTTAGAATATAAACTGCAGTTAAAAATTCCCCTCCCTCTTTGTTTCAACTGTTGTGCCATCATTCTCTCGTAAATCTCCCTTTCCGTCAGCCCATGGTCACCTCTGTTGTTGTGACCAGTTCTCTTCTGTCCTGTTGAGTGGATTTTTCCTTGTGACTCCTTCCGGCATGTTCAGTTTTCTTCTTCCCATCATCCTGGATCTGATCCCTTCCATCTTCTTCCTTTGACATCAGCACTGACCATGAATTTGAAGAATGCTCTTGGGAGATTATTTCACCAGCTTGAATCCGTTGGTATGCTCTGACTCCTTCCTACCACGTGTCCTTTGTTAATCACCTCTATTAATGTTTGTAATCCTGTTCCTTCCTAACTTCTTTACCACTCATTGTAGATCTTTTTCTCAACCTATCTCTGTTGTCTTGCTTGGACTCATGTCTATGTTTTTTTATTTTTAACTTCTGAGAGTTGATGTCCAAGCAGCCAACTATGGTGGTCATGATCATCATCATAAGGTTGTAAAGTTATTTATAAATATATCTTAATAATTGTATTATTTGAATTTTAAATAACATACTTCCAAAGTATATTTTTTTGAAACTAAAAATAAAAAATTGGATGTTTTCTTATTTGAGATACTTAAGATTATTAAGATTTTGAAAACAAATGTATTTGGCTACAAAGAAATGTTAGAATTTATTTGTTGGAATCATGACTACCAGAAATGAGGTAACTTTTTTTTTTTAAAGATTTAATTTATTTATTTGACAGAGATCACAAGTAGGCAGAGAGGTAGGCAGAGAGGAGAAAGCAGGCTCCCCATGGCGCAGAGAGCCCGATGAGGTAATCGATCCCAGGACCCTGGGATCATGACCTGAGCCGAAGGCGAGGCTTTAACCCACTGAGCCACCCAGGTGCCCCTGAGGTAACTTTCTATGTCATGAAAACTTTGCTGAGTTCTCTTTAACAAACACATTGGGATACTTGTATTCAAGACCTGCCTGTGTTAAATCCTTGTGAAGTGCCACTTATTAGTACATGAGTATAGATGATAATACGGGGTTTATACATAAATATAAATTATGGTCACCTCTTAGTTATTGAATGGATGATCATGATAGCAGGAGGAGGGGGCACTCCTTACTGATAGAGCCTAAGTGCCTGTTAGCAGTAAGGTTCTAAGGTCAATAGGATAGTAATATTGATAAATGAAGAAGAGCAGTAGAGAGGAAGCTAGTGCAAATCCTGGGGTGAGTACTCTTTTGGCATATGTCCTATGACTTTGGGCCAGTTAGCCTCTGTAATCTTCACTTTCTTCTGTAAAGTCAATGTTTACCCAGAGTTGTGGTTTCATAAAGTAATATGCATGTTTTAATTACAGTCTGATACAGAATGATCAGTAAGTGGTAGCATTTAAAAATGTTACTAATCTAAGCATTAAATCTTACGTTATGTTAAAATATGCACTTGCATTAAGTCTCTATTGTGGAAAGTGTGGGCTAATTTTTCAAGAAGTGTTAACGAGGTTTAGTAGCCTTTATTAAGCTACTTATGCATTCTGGATGAATTGAATTTCTGGTCATGGTTGAAGGTAAACAGATGGGCTTCTGGATGTTAGTCCTGTCATGCCTGGCACCCCCAACATTCGCCAGAGGATTCCTTCTCCCTGTCCTGCTCCTGGGTATGGTGGGCCAGGTGGATTCATTTCTGGATGGGCACAATTGTTTTGGCATCAGCAGCAGGTTTTTACAATGAATTTCATTGGAAAGAGGTAAACTTACTAACAGTGCAAAAGAAAGCTTGTGTAACTTGGGCTGAAGGCCCCACTACATTCCAATAGAAAATTTCATATATGCAACCTACATAAAGTGACATTTCAAATTTGCCTCTTCCACTAATAATCTTCACTCTTGAATAATCACATCGAAGTCACCTGAGTTGTTGAGCCCACAAAAAAGTCTGCTTGTAGTAAATGTCAATTTGTGGTGCCTCCAAGGAAATCTCAAGAGTAGGGCTTTCTCCTTGCTTATCCTTGCCTTCCTGGAGTTATATATAACATAATTCTTGGATAGGTTAAGACCTCAGTAAATGTTTGTTTTTACCTAGTCAAAGTTAAAATGTGGATTCAGTTAGTAATACTTGCCCCTAATTCCCCTGCCAGATGTTAAAAGACTGGCTTTTAATACTGTCCTTACCCCTAAGAGTTGGCTGATTTTGGTTAATTGATTTTATTTGGTTATATTAACTCATTAATTCAACAAAAGTGTATTAGGTTTGTGCAGTCCACCAGGTGTGTATAAACATTGGTGAGTGTCACAGGGTGGTGTCACACAACATCTCATGGTTACAATCTACTGGGGCTTAGAGATGAGCAAATAGGCAATTCATTTAGTGACAAATGCCAAGAGAGATGGAGTGTTGGCCTTTGGGAGACATTCATAAGGAACATCTATCTTCTTGGGACTGAATTTCTAAGGTTCTTGAGCAGTTACACATACTATGATTGAGAGCATATCTTTTAAAGAGAATATAAACCACACCTAGATACTGATTTGCTCATCCTGGTATGTGGTAACCTATGAATTATTAAAGGGTTATATTATCATAGAAGAATAACTTAGACTTTAGATAGTCCACATATTCTCTGGAGTAATTTCCTGACCCACGAAAAGGACATTGGAGTAGACAAGTTCTGAAATGCCTTAA